CCAAACTAAAAAGAAAGGTAAATGATGATTCATCATCGCTCATCAATGCGATGAAAGAAGCAAACAAAAGACTTGTTGAGGAGATGAAAAATGCAAACGACCAAATAAAAAATCAAATGGAGATGCACAATAGATCACTCGCTTTAAAAGAAATGAGGGAAGAAAATAAAATTCTGTTTCAAGATGTCAGTTCCATTGAAGATCCCAGAGTTCGAGCATACATTGAAGCTGAAAAGGCGCGAATCTTGGAGAAAGAGCTCAACAAGCCCAACCGGATCCATATCCGACTAATGCATTTGGCCAATTTTTCAACGATCTTGGAGGAAGCGGTGCCAACTTGCCAGATTACTAAGTATTCGTGCTTATTTTCAGTTGTTGGGTTTATGATGTATTTTTATTTTAGTACCGTGTGATGTTGTATTTTTATTTAAGCAGTAGTTATTGAAATGTTTTTCGTTGAACCGTGATCTATCATGTACTAATGTTATTTAAATATGTATTCGTGATGTTGTTGTTATTTAATGCCAGTGTTTTCTTTTATTGTTAAATAAAATACCATAAATAATATGTATATTTTATATTATTATTGTAAAAAATATAACATTAAATGATAAATATAATATTTATTATTTTAAATATTTTACTATTTAATTTTTATGAATAAAGATTTTTTTAGTATTTTAAAAATATATAAAAATAATTCATAATTTTAGTGCTTATTAGTTATTGTTACTTAAATATATGTATATATATAATAATAAAATATGTATAAAGGAAAAATATAATAATAATAATTGTTTTCAAAAGTATCTTAATTTTTTATATTATTAATAGATACATAATAAATGATATATAATAATCGTTGGTTTAATAATTATCTTAACTTCTAGAAAAATACACCAAATAATAATCTGAGTAATATAAAATACTATTCATACTGGGCCATTTTGAAATTTTTAAAAGTCATGCGTTTTCCAACAGTAAAACGCATTTTTGCGTTTCTAGGCTAGGAAAAATGGGATTATCGCAAATTGCGTTTGAGTTTTGGTGTCGGGTGGAGCAATTTTGTGGGTTTGCGTTTGCGTATTGAGATCGGTTGGAGAAGGTCTAAGTTTTCAATACCAATATGTTGACAATGAAATAATGTGTAAGATATCTAATTTTCGTAGTCCTAATAGATTATTATGCTTTTTTTTTTGTTTATTTTAATCAATTCAACAATAGTCATATTAATATATTATGTCTCCAATTCCGATGAATATCAAACTTGTAAGTCGATTGTATCATGCAAAAGGAAAATTATGAAACATATGATTATAGTTATACACTAATAATATTGTTGTTCTATGCAAATTCAAACACTCGTGTCCATTTATAGTACCAAAGCCCATTAGAGTGTACTGGACTCAATTGGAACTTTCTGATTGGATATAAATCAGCCCATTAACATCCCAATGAGAAAATCACTTGTACTGAGTTGAATTCATTAAAATTAAAGAGCCGACTGCCGAGTTGTCTGAGCCGAGTTCGAACTGAGTCGAGTTCGCTCGATCTGCATAGCAGCTCAAACAACCGTCACTGGCACTTCAGTTCAACGAGCTGTCATTTTTTCAACTCCGATCAAGTCAATGGCCGTAAAGCTCCTATATTTCCGGCCGACCCACCACCCGCAGCCGCAGGTTCAACGGGCATCCACCGTCCACTCCCACCGTAACGCCGGTCAAGCCCCAAATATCCACACCCCACCACCCCAAAATCTCCCTCCACCAACTCCACCACCCAACAAGCACAAATTCCTCAGCCCACCACTAAAAATCAATTCCTACAATTTATCAAGAAAATCAGCCGCCGGGTCACATTTAAGCTTCCCAATCATCTCCGCGGAGGACCAGTGGGGCACCTGGGCGGCCCTTTTTGCCACCGGCGCTTTTGGCATCTGGTGAGAATAATGAATTCGATTGTTTTTTTACATTTTATTAATTTATTTTTTTCCTTTTCTTGTCCCGAATTTAGTTATTGTTCTGAGTGTGAAGGTCAGAAAAGACCAAAATCGGGAGCGCATTGAGTGGGGCACTCGTGAGCGTTTTAATCGGTCTTGCAGCGAGCAATTTGGGCATCATAGCTAGTGAGGCGTCGGCTTATGATGTCGTTTTGAAGTTCTTGCTGCCATTGGCTGTGCCTTTACTGCTTTACCGGGCCGACATGCGCAGGGTTATAAGGTCTACGGGCACGTTACTCTTAGCATTCTTGATTGGATCAGGTAATGAGAGCTTCAGTGAGTTTTTTGAGGTGATATTTTATGTTTTTTTATTGCATAGTTTGAATGAATTTGTTCTTAATTTAGTTACCTTCCGAGTTCAACAAAGTATGTAAAAGGTATAGTTTGGAGGGTGAAGTGCAGTTGATCCAGAAAATCTAAGCCGGTTTCATGAGTTTTGAATATAGCTCTGATGATTAGTTTTTCCAAAGTTTTAATTGGAAAAGTTACCTCGAACATAGTCGAGTTACAGAAGACAGAGAGACATTTTAAATGTAAAGATAATCGTGACTGCTATCTAGAGTGGAGGTTACTATAGTTGGGCAGATCCAAGTATGAGGCATGAATAGGATGTTTGTAGCAAATTTTATTGGGTTTTTCTAATTTTGGGCAAAGGTTGGTGCTTTTTCTGTAATTTAAGCTAATAGTAGTTTTTGGGTCTATCCTGGATTTGAGAAAAGAAGCTATATTTCTTATTCCCCTATTTTCTCTCCCGTGATTATCACACAGTGGCAACGACGGTGGGTACAGCTGTCGCTTTCCTATTGGTTCCAATGCGGTCGCTTGGCGAAGATGGTTGGAAGATAGCAGCTGCTCTAATGGGAAGACATATTGGTGGAGGTAATGTAAAAAACCATGCGACTTTAACATGAAATTAAGTGCCAAGTTGAAGTTTTATACGCATACACAGCAAGATTAATGTGAGTTTTCATTTTCATTTCATACTCATATTCACATTTCGAATAATGATCTACACAAGTTTTTGCTGCATCCTAAATGAAAAATATAATAATAGATGATGCTATTTGTTTGTGGATTAAAGATTTACATTAGCTACCTTATTTGTTTGTGTTGTGTAGCTGTCAATTATGTCGCGATATCCGAAGCTTTGGAAGTTTCGCCTTCGGTTTTAGCTGCCGGGCTAGCTGCTGATAACGTTATCTGTGCAATATATTTCACCACATTATTTGCATTGGCTTCCAAAATACCAGCCGAGACCTCAACTTCTGCAGCTGGTCGGTCCGGATTAAGAAGTTGTTAATTATAACTAGTTTTTATTGAAATTTTTAATTATGTGCGTATTTCATATAAATGGAAAAAATGATAATTCAAGACCCAAGTAATAAATAACTCCCATCAAATGACTTGTTACTCTAACAAAACTTAATGTAACTAATGATATTTTTAATAACCTTTGGTAGGTAAAGGACACAATGAAGAAACACAATCGGGTGATAAGCTTTCTGTACTGCAGTTTTCAACTGCCCTTGCTGTGTCCTTCATTATATGCAAAAGTGCGATTGTCTTGACAAAATATTTCGGAATTCAAGGAGGAAGCCTCCCAGCAATAACGGCTATAGTCGTTATTTTAGCGACTGTATTTCCTAAGCAGTTTGCTTACTTGGCACCTTCTGGTGAGGCTATGGCTCTCATACTGATGCAGGTTAGAAAACGTACACTTTGTTTTTATTTGCATTATAAATCGACTTCCTTTTAGAAACCCAATTGAGAAAATTGGATTTTTTTCGAATCTTTTCCCTCCTTGCTGTTTATGGTTTCACTTGCCGAGTTGTCGGGCCTTTATCATCTTTGCTCGTTGATCTTCACGACGAATCTTAGAAATATTACATTTCAAATAGATGTGGTGAGATTGCACACGTAATGTGACCAAATTTAGCAATGAGACGTTCTGCACATCAGAATTAATGTTTCAAGTTTCAACACATCAACATGTAAATAATCCTTGTATCAATTTCAATATAGGTTGAAGCTACAAATTGGCTCACAAACCATCTGTGGTTCAGTTTAGGATTATTTACAAAAGTACTCTTCAGCTTTTGTTGAATTACATCAAAACCCATGAGATCTTTTGAAACTACAATTACTCTCTTGGTGCATATTTCGATTCAGGGTAGTTTCTGGAATTTACTTTCCTTACATCATCATCAACATCAACATACCCAGTATATTCCCAACAGGTTGGGGTCTGGTTGGGGTCTGGGGGGTCAATTGTACGCAGACCTTACCCTTATAATTATACAAGGAGGCTGTTTCCATAACGACCCAAGGTGCGTTGCGTCGTTTGATATATTTTTTTCTAGAAACTTCACTAATAGAAGAAGCACTAGAATTTAATTGAGTCATTTTGATCTAGTCCATTATTTGCACTATGCCAGGAGAATTGTCAACAATGACTCTTCCAGCTCCATATGCAATGGAAATGGAATTTACTTTCCTTATTATTTTAAATTATTTCGTCATTTTTTTAACTCTAAAAACAAATTCTACCTTTAACCCGGCTGTCTCGTTAGGTGTTGTTTGCTGTGGTTGGTGCAAGTGGGAACATACGGAATGTAATAACCACAGCACCCAGCATTTTCTTGTTTGCCCTCGTCCAAATCGGTGTCCACCTGGCAATCATACTCGGGCTCGGAAAAATGTTTGGTTTCGAACTCAGGCTTTTGCTGCTGGCATCAAATGCGAATGTGGGCGGGCCCACGACAGCCTGTGGCATGGCGACCTCGAAAGGATGGACTTCGTTGATCGTTCCAGGTATTCTTGCGGGTATTTTTGGAATTGCAATCGCAACTTTTCTCGGCATTGCTTTTGGGCAGGCGGTTCTGAGGTTCATGTAAATTGTGGAGTTCAAATGCTGCAGAAAGATTGAGAAGATAATTTTTTTTTGTAACCCTAACTGTTGGTCTGAAAATGCCTAGCTGAAGTTAGAAAGCTTTGACTGTTTTTGTGGCTATATAGTGAGCCTTCATTTGATATGTATTCAAATAAATTTAGTTTGGTCTCCACCTTCTGAGTCCAAATCTCAAGCTAGAGGGATGTTGATTGGGGAAATCGGGCCTTGGTTGAGGAGGCGAGGAACGTCCTAGCAATACATAGCGGGGATCGACCGTCTCCTAGCTAGCAGAATATTTTTGGAGTTTTCAGACCTAAGAGCCTTTGATAGTGGTTTTCTTCATTTTGGGTAGTTGTTCAAATTTTTGTTGGTAAAGGTGGTGGTTGTGGCTATAGTTGTTAAACGAGATGAATCGCTGGTGAGCTCGGCTCGAGCTTGATCCTATTTAAAGCATGTTTAGTTAACGAGTTGGGGTTGGCTCGACTCAATAAGGCTTGTTAAGGCTCGAAAATTGAAAAGAGGGTTTTTTTATATTATTTCTATATAGTTTTACTCATTAATATTGATAGATGAACTGAGCTCGAGCTCGAGTTTGATTACTGACTCATTTAGCTAACGAGTTGAGTCAAGATCATTTTTTTTTTTTTTTTTGGTACAATGAAGGGAGGCAAAGCCTACACAAAACTATATGATAATCTTTCTTGGATAAGACACGCCGATCACATCAAGATAACTCTTTAAATGTTCGAGTTCGGTTTAACCAGTAGTATTACCGTGTGCCCTGACACACCTAGCTAGGTGTGCCAGTGTAGATTTGCACGCGCCTCCTCACCCCAAAAACAAGAAAATTTGGAGAGTGTAGTACACATTCCTATTTTTCCTTTTTTAATTGAAAAATGAGACATATTACATAAATTAAAATATCATTAATTATTTATATTAAAAAAATAAAAAAAAAACTACCAAAATTCATAATTTTTCATTATCTATAAATAGAAACTGCATTTGATAGGTTTTTTAACCTAATTTTTCGTTTTTTTCATAATTTTTCATAGTTTTTCGTAATAATTTATTATACTGACATATAATGAACATGTTACATAATAAAATGAATATGTTTTCAAATATGATGAACATGTTACAGATTGCAGATTGAAATAATACATATTCATCTTATTTTATAACATGTTCACCTTATTGTGTACGTAAGATGTTCATCTTATTCTATAACATGTTCATTTTATTATGTAACATGTTCATCTTATTCTATGACATGTTCATTTTATTACGTAACATGTTCACCTTATTGTGTATGTAACATGTTCATCTTATTCTATAACATGTTCATTTTATTATGTAACACGTTCACCTTATTGTGTATGTAACATGTTCATCTTATTCTATAACATGTTCATTTTATTATGTAACATGTTCACCTCATTGTGTATGTAACATGTTCATCTTATTCTATAACATGTTCATTTTACTATGTAACATGTTCATCTTATTCTATAACATGTTATTTTATTATGTAACACGTTCATCTTATTTTAGAACATGTTCATCTAAATTTCATTTGTGAAAGTGTAACATTTTCATCTTATTCTATGACATGTTCATCTTACTCTATAACATGTTCATCTTACTATGTAACATATTCATCTAAGAGTAATGCTATGTGTACATAATAAATGTACATAGAGTTGTACATAACACTCACATGTTGTGGGGTCCATTTAATTTTTAATTTTTGGTGGGTCCCACTCCATGTGAGTGTTATGTACACCCTTATGTACAATATTATGTACATATAGCATTACTCTTCATCTAATTATAGATTTATGTCATAATCTTCCAATAAGCTAAATTAATTGTGTTTCAAAAAATATCAAATGTGGTCTCTATTTGTGGAGAATGAAAAATTATGAATTTTAGTATTTTTATTTTTTGATACAAAATATGAATGATAATTTAATTTATATAATATGATCTATGAATTTCATTGCCCAATAGAAATGGGACACATGTCTCATTAAAAAAAAAAATCTTACCTCCTTACCTCACGCGCTTTTGAGGAGGATGTATTTTACAAAAGGCTCTGACACACCTAGCAAGGTGTGCACCTAAGTATTTGCACGGTTTAACTAGTTTACATCTCTAGTTGTGCAGGCCATTTTGGGAAATGGGGATTGGGGAGCATTATTCAATGTATTAGATTCTTGTGTGTTTTTGTTGTTTTGTGATTGGAATGTGTTATTCTCATAATTTTGATTTAGCTAATTTGACTCCTTTAATTTGTAATCATTTTTTTAATAATATTATTGTAAAAAATTAAGTGAAATGATTTTCTACCTTAAAAAGAAGAATCTATAGATCATTTTTTTTCTAAAAAAAAATTAACTATGTTTTCATTTCACAATACCTCAAAAAAACCAGCCTACTATTTATCTTCACGCCACGTGGCCCAATTAGATTTGTCCGAATCCAAGAGCTGATAGAACTAAAATATTTCGAAACATCAGCCAACCGCCCCTGAATTATCTCACAGACGGCCAAAGCTTCGCCGTTAAAATGGCGACGTCAGCTTTGCCGCTAAACCTCACAGCTTTTTCACCATCATCTTCTTCTTCCCCTCCATCAAAGCCGACAAATTTCTCTCCGACCAGCAACGTTGGCGCCAAATCTCCGTGCGGACAGCCGCCAAACAGGCTCTCTCCTCTATCTAACAGGTTCTTTCACCGGATTAGAATTGCCGGCGGTTCTCAGACTGTCGGTTGTGGTTTGAACACCTCAACGCCAGTTATCACTCCCGACGACCATTGGGGCATTTGGGCCGCCCTTTTTGCCACCGGCGCTTTCGGTCTCTGGTAAATGTCGAATTATTTGTTTCTCCTATGTTTTCTTGAAGGTAAAAGTATTAATGCTTGTTTCTTAATTTTTAATTAGTTCTACAGATATTTGTTGATTGAAATTTGCTAGATCAGATTATTTTGCTAACCTACAGTCTATCCTCTACTGACCTAATTGCAATTTGTGGTATTTATTGGAATTTGTTGCAACAAATTTGAAAATATGTGAATTTAGGAATTTGTTGCAATTTGAGTCATTTGGGTACTGAAATTGCAACATATTAAATCATATGACCCAAAAGGCGAAATATTGGAACCTTGTAACTAAAATTGCTTTGCGTTAAACTAACCGGACTAAAAATACAATTTTGCTTTTTTTTCTTTTTTTCCTTTTTCATAAGCTAATGTAAGTTGGATATTATCACTTGCAAATGTTCATTATCTCTATTGGAAATTGAGTACTGACAAATAAAAATTGTTTGTTGTTTAATGTTGGCTACATTGAATCAAGGTCAGAGAAGACAAAAATCGGGCGTATGGTTAGTGCTGCACTAGTGAGTCTATTAATCGGGCTTGCGGCCAGTAATCTTGGGATTATTCCGCACGATGCTCCAGCTTATTCGGTGGTGTTCCGGTATTTACTGCCATTAACAATACCATTGCTACTATTTGGAGCCGATTTGAAGCAAGTGATACGTTCAACTGGAACTCTGTTCTTAGCTTTCTTGCTAGGATCAGGTCTACTTCTTGCTCGAATCACTAATTTTTTGCCTTTTTTATTGCTAATAAATTAGTCCATTCGGGTTTCTTTGGTTTGGGAGCTCGTCTTTCGTTAAAGACGAACCAATTTATTGCTCATTTGAAAGGCCAAACTGTGTTTTTTTTTTTTCAGGTCATGTAAGTGCCTGGCCTTAACTGAATGGACATATTTTTTCCTGTTCAAGTGTAATCAGATAAAAAATTTTCTTTCCAAGTGAACTAATTTATGGTACCATGTTTTTTTTATTTTTAAAAAAAAAAATGCAGTAGCAACTGTTGTGGGGACCACGGTAGCTTTCTTGTTGGTGCCGATGAGGTCTCTCGGTCAAGACAGCTGGAAAATAGCTTCTGCTCTCATGGGTAGTTATATTGGTGGAGGCATGTAAAGTCGAAATCCTTCTGTTAATCCTTTTTAAAGTTTCACCATTTTCTATCATAATAATGGACATTTGTTTTTTTTTTTTAATGTAGCAATAAACTACGTGGCGATTTCCGAGGCGCTCGGCATTACTCCATTGGTTATTGCTGCTGGCATTGCTGCCGATAACGTAATATGTGCACTGTATTTCCTTTTGCTGTTTGCATTGGCCTCCAAAATACCTCCAGAGACTGCAAAAGCGATTAATAGTACGTAAAAAACTTAATGAGCAATGCTCGTTAATTGCCTAACATCTATTATCGAGTCCTAATTAGTTCGTTTTGCTTAATAAGATAGTGAATTTTTTTATCATAGTTTTGATCGTATTTTTTTAGGACTTCCGTGCAGATGATTCTTCATCGTGTCCCGAGCTGAATGAGAACAAATCCTCTGTTCTCCAGATGGCTACAGCACTTTCTGTTTCGTTTGCCATCTGCAAAGCCGGCACTTTTTGTTCTAAAATGCTCGGAATTCGAGGCGGGGAACTTCCCGCGGTTACAGCAATTGTTGTCGTTTTAGCAACTTCACTTCCAACTTGCTTTCGCCACCTGGCACCGGCCGGCGATGCTTTTGCTCTAATACTAATGCAGGTGAAGAAGTACAAGTACAACTATTTGGAAAAAAATAGAGATTTAGTCTTGTAACTATAACACCAAAATGAAAAATAGTCCGGTGGTTGCAGTGATTTTGCAAAATACCCTGATGTAAAAAAACCCTGACTTTTAGTCCTTCCAGTGGCAAAAGTCGGTCCCTGTGACCAGTTGCAACCAGTTGCAGACGTGTTTTTTTTTTGTTCATACACGTGGCAGCTGAGTTGGATATGTTAGTCGACTGCCACGTGTACGAAAAAATGAAAAATAATATCCACGTCAGCAAGGTTGGTCACAGGGACCGAAATTTTGTTTCCCCACTTACAGGGTGTTTTGTAAAGTCGAGGAAATCACCGAACTGTTTCTCAATTAGGTATTAGGTATCAGTTACAAGACTAAATCTCCAATTTTTCCCAACTATTTTAACATGCTCTGTTAATTAATTAGGCAACGCTGGGGATAATTTTGTAATTTTACACCTCTACGGGTGGACAGGTGTTTTTTGCGGTTCTTGGCGCGAATGGTAGTCTATGGAACGTGATCAACACGGCCCCGAGCATATTCCTTTTTGCGCTCGTTCAAGTTTCCGTACACCTCGTTGTCGTATTGGGGCTCGGGAAATTAGTGAGGATCGACCGGAAGGTTTTACTGTTGGCGTCGAATGCCAACATAGGCGGGCCCACGACAGCTGGTGGGATGGCCACTGCTAAAGGGTGGGCCAGCCTGGTTGTGCCTAGCATTCTTGTTGGGATTTTTGGCATAGCCATTGCAACATTTTTGGGGATTGGATTTGGGATGTTAGTTCTAAGGCACATCATTTAGTTTTGCAAAAATATCAATAGGAGTGTGCCCTTTTGGACTATTTAGGGTTAAAAAGTTTGTCTTTTTAACACATGAACGCTATTTATGTGGTCCACATGCACAAAATAGGAGAAAAAGTGTATGTACACCTTTTTTTTTTTCATTTAAATCAATATATAAGCTTCTTATTTTTTTATTTATTTTTTTTCTTCAAACTATTTTTCTCGGTTCTTACTGCACGATTCGCCCTTTTTTTCGGATTCAAAGGTGGGAAGCCAAGTTTCGTAGCGTGTCTTTAAGGCTCAGTTACATTGGGAACACATGTTGGGCTTTCTTGTTTTTCCCGATCACACGAGGATCATCCATCTTGCCGTTGGTGGGCCTGAAGCCTGAATCGAGCATTAAGTACCACATTTGGCTAGGTCACGTCTCGTTGGTCCTTTTCGCCCTCCATAGCGTCGGGTTCGTCGTCTATTAGTAGTCCATGACTCATCAAATGTACCTCGTGCGTAGTCTCGTTTATGCCCTTATGCATTAATTTGTTTCGACTCGTGTTGAATTTTATAATTTTATAATACATGTTTTTTTTTAGTATTCAAATGTTTCTTATTTCGTGGCTAACGTGTCATTCATCCAATACAATGAACGGTGCTCTGCGAATTGATGTTTAACTTTGTTAATCGAGACGAATTAGCATTTATTTTAAAGCTTTGAGGTACATTTTTTTTTCCTTAGATGCTTGAGTGGAGTAGCATGTATTTATCGAATGTGGCTGGCGTGATTGCATTCGTTCTCTCGTTGGTGATGTGAGGGACGAGCCTCGATCGTGTGAGGAGAAAAGTGTTCGAGCTTTTCTATTATGCTCACCATATCTATATTCCTTTTCGTCTTTTTCTACATGTTCCATGTTGGTGTAGCCTATCTTTGCATGATTCTTTCCGGAATCTTTTTAATCCTCATTGACCGATACCTAAGATTCCTCCAATCGAGAAGGAGGGCATCAAACTATGAATCCCGAATCAGCCTTACTAAAGCTGCATTCTCCCTGAAAACCAGTAATCTTGGACGTTAAACTCTGTGCCACACAATCAGTAGACCCCGACTAGTTTGTGCTCGACTTTTGTCCAATGGCTCCATGCAATTGACTTTCGCCAAAAATCCAGGTGAATCTCATTATTTTTTGCTCTCCTACTTCAATTTAGTACTTACCAAATTTTTTGATATGTTTTTATTATTTAGGGTTGTCTCATAGTTCCACTAGTACATTGTTCGTGCATTTCCCGAGCGTATGTAAATTGCAATGGCATCCGTTCACGATCACTTCCAACAGTAATTTAGAGACCGATAATCTAAGTATTGTGATCAAAAGCCAGGGAAGCTGGACACAAAAGCTCTACATATATATCCTGTTGAAAAAATGGGAGAGAATTATCATTATAGCTATAAAATTTTGTGGGACATGTTTCTTGTGTGTGCTAGTGTGTTTGTGTCTACTAGTGCTATTTTCTTGTGGCAAAAGAGAAAAATTGACATTGAAGGGAATCAAATTCAGAGTGTGGATATGCCGACACTTGAATTATCGCCTTCTTCTTGGCTATGCAGTTCGGATAGGGAAATCGAGAGCCTTCCTCACCAGTCGCTTGTTCAGTCGACAAACGTGCATTTTGGTTCGCGTTCTGATTTGAAGAGTGAGTGTCATTTTCATTTTTTCTTTTTCCTTTTTATTTTTCCTTTTGTTTACTTCTTGGTTACATTTGCTATTTTCGGGTCTCGTAGGGATACTTCTGAATTGCAAAGGATCCGGACGTTGGCGTTTTAGTTTGAGGGCCCAGAAGCATGCGACACGAAGTTGCGAAAATATGCGCATCTGGTCTTGCCAAAAACCTCTATTTCGAGTCTATCAGCTTTAACTAGTGACCGATGATAAACGTTGAACGAGTGGTGTTTCTTTGTTCTTCAATTCCCTTCCCTTCACTCGATTTCCTTCGGTTCGTATTATGTGCCGAGTCAATGTTTCAGACCGTTCGACCATCATTGTACATGGATTGTGTGATTTGCACTTGTTTTGGCTTTTGAAAAACTCTTATGATTGACTTTTGTTTGAGCTACATGTAAAAAACTAAGAAGCTTCAAAGCACTTGACATACATAATACATTCCACTTCAAAAAAATCAGCACTGTACTCACAAGCAGCAATACAGAATAACCAAACCAAAGAAAATATGAAAAAACTAAAAAGGAAAAGAAAATAAATAGAACCTTCTGCATGATTAAAATAAATCAAGAGAAGAAAAGAAAAGAAAAGAATAAACACAATTTGGCCACTGATTCCTAACAATAAGGCCCCCATATATTTTTCTTTTAAAGAACATGTCACAACTCCATTGCTTTACTCTGCGAATCACACTCCGAATTCAACGACCTCTCTGCAGTTGCTTCCGAATCATCAACAGACGGGCCTTCCTCATCTGTTGGGGCTGCTCGGTCCTCGAAGCTACAAATGCTCAACGGCAACTTTTTCTGCTTGATCCTCCCTCTCTTTCTACCGACACTATCCAATGGCTCGGAAAATTTTTCATTCAAATTATCCTGAATCGCTTTTTCTTCGCCTTCACCGTCTTTCGAGTTCAAATCCACTGTGATCATCATGTCTATTTCCTTAACACGACTCTCTGTACTGTAAACAGTATCTTTCAGCTTCTTGTGCTTTCGAATCTTTGAATCCGAGTCCAGCAAGCCGTTCGAGGCCCGATACAAATTACGAGCCGCTTCTTCATCTACCCTGCAATTTGCATTTTTCTCCCTTTTATTTTTATCATAAAATGCCTCGACCGAGACATGCTTTTTTACTTTATTCCGTTTTTTATCCTTTCTAGCAGCAGCCTCCTCTAGATCCGCAACGAGTTCGAGGGCATTCTTGGCGGCCGCCACCGCACGGGCGGCCTTGGTCGCCTTTTGCTCGGCGTTGGCCCTTTTGGCCTCGGCAAACTTTGTAGCTTCTATTGCGGCATTTCTGGAAGATTCTAGAAGCTCCTCATTCGAGAGATTAGGGTTACTCAAATGGAACCTCAGGAGGTTGTTGAGGCGGGCATAGTATTCACAGTCAGCACTACAAGGAGTAGACGGGCCGGAGGAATAAACATCGGGAATATGTTTTTTGAGTCCCGCTAGAAGACGCTTGTGTGGCGGTAAACGAGCGTCTGTATCCGAGTTGTTATCCTCATGTGAATTTGCCTCCATTTTCCTTCAAATTATGTGAACCAGATTACTCACAGCAACCCAACTTGCACTAAAAAAAAAAAGAATCAGCTTGTTTTCTAAGCCATGAAAACTACACATTTGTGTTCTTTCAAGATTTTCGATGTGAATTTCACAAACTTCTCCGATCAATAAACACACAATTGACACAATAGCAAAACTTAATACGAATGTAAGTAGACATTCTCAGTATTGTCCATAAATCTAAAAATGACAGAAGACTGTTTAGCTCATCTGTGGATTGAGGATTGTTCAAAGGACTACGATTACGAAGCCTTATTCACAATTATCACGAACTCGGTTGAAAGTATAACGACAAGATCGAATAAGCAGATAAGAGACTTGTTCACCATAATCAAACCCAAACATAAAATTAGGGTTTGCAGGGAGAGTGCATACATATGTAATGGGTAAGAAATTAGTAAACAGCTGTAGAAATAACGATAACCCACACAGATCCACACGACAAAATTAGCGCCAATTCACAAATTCAAAGGCACATTCCTCTGTCCATCGACCATGAAAACAAACAAAGCAGTAAATAAACATCACTCACTCGCAAAAAGCTAAAAGCAAAAAATTAAAAAATAAAATAAAATCTGGTTCGAATCGAAGAACCTGCAAATGGAACCAAATCAATGGCGATATTTCAGATCATCATCTCCCAAATCCGAGTTTCAGACACTCACAAATATCCAGCTGCATAAAAACAAATATATATGAAAAATGAATAAATAAATCAACTTTCAGGTAACTGATGATCTTAAGAAGAAAACAGAACAGTGGGCGAAAAACTAGATTCAGGTAAGAATTTGGAATTGTCCGAGATAGTGTTCGTAACTTCGTTTTATTATTATTTTGTGAGAGGATTTTGTTGAAGTTTTGGGCTTTGTTTTGGGGTAGGAATAAGAAAATGAGAATAGAGATTAGCTTCGAAGTGATTGCCCCACGTATACTACTTTGCTTGACGAATTTGCCCTCATATTTTTTCTTTGACGTTTTCTTTTTTCTTTTTT